GTACCCCGGAAAACAACACTGTAGTCCAAACGAGCCGTTCGTTGTAGTTCTTGAAAAGGGATTTTTTAAAAACGAAATCTTTGAGATTTGTAGATCTTTTTTATGCCCAAACATACACACTACACTCTGACTAAAATTCAAAAAGTGAAAAAGCATAATAGGGCCCCTTCAATAAATTTTTTAACAATTAATTATTTTCCAGCACTGCCTTAACCCTCTTGGGCATGCAGTTCACCGGAGCTTCACAGGTTGCCACTGGAGTACTCTTCCACTCCTCCACGACGACATCACGGTGCTGGTGGATGTTAGAGACCTTGAGATGCTCAGTAGGGTTTAGGGCACTCCCTACTTTACATTGTAGCAAAGTGTCATTTCTTCAGTGTTGTCACATGAAAAGATGTAATAAAATATTTACAAAAATGTGAGGGGTGTACTCACTTCTGTGAGATACTGTATATATACACTTTTTTTTTTCCTGGATCTCTAATTGAATATTTGAATATATACTATTTACAAAAATGTGAGGGGTGTACTCACTTCTGTGAGATACTGTATATATACTTTTTTTTTTCCTGGATCTCTAATTGAATATTTGAATATATACTGAAATGAAGGCATAAAACATTACATTAACTCAATCAAATGAAAATGTAACTTGTTTCTGTGTTTTTATGAAATGCTAATAGTTGTATAAAATTAAATGGTATAATTCTGATGAAATGAACTGTCAGAGCAGCTTTGGAAATGACGTTCATGGGTAGCATCTCATATAGCGAGACGGCAGGTGCTAAAAACACAACTAGCATCAGGCGCGCTCGAGTATGTGCGGCAGACAACCATGGTGCTCATTCACATTTAGCTATGCAGATTATACATTAAAATAGCAGTGGTTTTGTTTTTTTAAATGTTGACATTCACTAGTCTATATCTTGATTTGATTAACCAAGTGTTTGTATGCATGTATATTACCGTTGCACTTATCTGTACAAACATTATCCAAAATCTGTGACATAAATCATAATTAGGGCGGGTGGATTATTGTGGCACAATAAGCATATCCGGTTACAAACACCGTACCATCCCTGACCTTTAGCAACAGGATAGTCTCACAGCTGAATCAAAGGGACAAAGGCGCTGTCCACACCCAGCATTGACAACTGTCACTGTAATCCATCCACAAGCAAACAGCAGGATTTTAAGCCAACATGTTACCACACCTTTCAAACAACGGGGCAAAAGAGACTTAACTAACTAGAGCAGCTAGCGTCCTGTATTACCTCACAGAGACCACTAAATTGTTTACAGTCAAGTTGCGTTTGACCTTGTAAGATGGGCCGTGCGCCTTTAAAAGTCACTGACATATGACAGCGATTTGCCGGCGTAGCAATGCCTTAATAGATAGCGGTCATGCAAAACATTGTAGAAAAGCAAGACAACATATTTTCCATTTGAATATAGTGTTGGAAAAAACAAACAAAACAACTGTGGCGTTTATATGTTCCTTGTGATTGCTTGCATGTTCTGATATTAGGTGGCTGCTTAGTGAAAAGAGGCCACCCCAAATATGAGGAAAAGTACCCTTCTTATGAAAAAGTCAAGTCAAAGATTGATTGATTTTGCACAGGGGTGAAAGGAGTAGTGACGGACTCATACGGGAAGCCTGTCCGAAACGCCATAGTGGAGGTAGCGGGGAGAAGAAACCTTTGTCCCTTCAGGACTGATCGTAATGGGGAATACTACAGACTGCTGCTGCCCGGCAACTACACCATCACAGTAAGCTCAGTACCTCTCGTGAGGAACTCACTTAGCGTTCTTCCACAATAGTATTACAAAATTACTATATATTTAGGAAAAGAGCGATAAGAAATGGTGTTTGTGTTGGTGGTCTTCTCCGAGTCAGTCACAAGTCAACTCACTCGGACAGTTACAAAGCAGCTTAAGAATGCAGAGCTTTTGGGTTTGAATCCACCAGAGATTTAGTCAGCAAATAAAGATGGACAGTGGGCATCACATACGTACAATTTTAGAAGTAATTTTATTCTAAACCTAACAGTTACACTTGACATTTTCTTGCATTTAGCTCCAACACTAATCAAGGCCTTCCCTAGCCACAGGTGAGTTCGATCAGGGTTGTAGCTAAACTGTAAGAAAGTGCATTACAAGGGCCAATGTTGCCTTTCTTTATTCTACATACTTACCTCAGCATGATCATAACTGTGCATTCACAACTTTAACAAGTTAGTCTTTACAAGTAGCACATACACTACTCAGGGACACATATACAATGGAAACCCTGCAAACATTACACACACATTTAAAAAAAAATCAGCCTCTGTCTCACAGAGGAAACACTCACTGTATGGCAAATGACATTAACACAGAGGTACAAATTCACTTACAGCCATTACACAACATTAATAAATATAACAGATGGGGACACTGCCTGCAGCCAATCATGTAGACCTGTCACTACACTACTCAGGGACACATATACAATGGAAACCCTGCAAACATTACACATTTTAAAAAAAATCAGCCTCTGTCTCACAGAGGAAACACTCACTGTATGGCAGATGACATTAACACAGAGGTACAAATTCACTTACAGCCATTACACAACATTAATAAATATAACAGATGGGGACACTGCCTGCAGGCAATCATGTAGACCTGTCACTGGTCTTCTGTCTCCAGCTGTTCACAAAAATTTTATTAGTCCTGCCAATAAAGACAAATGAAATGTGTAGATATTTAACTTAAACAGTTATGATTTATTTTGCTATAGAATAACAGCTTCATTTACATCTATGCTGCTCCATGTCTCCAGGTGACATACCCAGGACACAAGACCCTCACTCAGACCGTTCAAGTGCAGCATGGTCCAGACACATTCTCTGCCCTCACACACAACTTCTTCCTTCAAAAGAGTGACTATAGCTCAAAAGCAACACAACTACCCCAGTCCTGCACCACCCCAAATCTGGGAATCCCAGAGAGCGACAGTGCCACCCTACTGCCCAGTGTGTTCACTACACTTACCTTATTACTCCTCCAAAGACTGCTGCTGCTCTGAGGGAGAAAAGACTTTTAAACATCAAGGACATGCTCATTTTATTTTCCTGCACAATTTATCTTTTAACCTTTTGTACAAAATCATGACAAAATATCAACAATTGTCAAGTTTCCACATTTGGAGCATTTCAAGAATATCCACAACCCACCATAGTCGTGATGACAGTTTTTAGAGCGGTTACCAATTCTTTGACCAAAAACCTCAACTGCATTACATTGCGTTTCAAACTCCCTGTGTTTCACTTAGTTTTATAATATGCCTACATACCTATTTTCAATTGTGGAAGATACTATTATTGTGATGAAGGCTATAAAAGTTGAAGGTGGTGTGCATGTGAACAATTATGTAACTGTTACTAGTCTTGACGTGTTTGCTTTTTATCATTTAAAGATTTGTAGATACTGTGTCAAGCTAATTACCTTAACCTCATTTGTACATTGACAGTGTCTCTTTGCAGCTGTGTAACGTGAAAATGAAGCCAAATGAAACCCAGTGCTCTTTCTACCTCACTCAGGCTCACGTTAAAGACTGACAGTGCCTTCAATACACATGTCAAACACAGGATCTGCTGTCTCCTTTCATTTTCTATGTAAAGCCAATATTACCACATTACATGCTAATCTCACAACTTCATTACACACACACAGCATTCAGAAAGTTTGAAAAAAAATGTTTAAGGTTTTTAAAATGGAACCTGCTTTCAGGATGACACCTGACTATAGCTCAAAAGCAACACAGCTACCCCCAGTCCTGCACCACCCCAAATCTGGGAATCCCAGAGAGGAACAGTGCCACCCTGCTGCTCTGCAGGAAAAAAATTTTTTTACTTCTAATGAACACATGCAAATACAAATGTGTAATGCTGAACTCAGAGACGATGCATTCAGCTTTTTAGTATGACCTTCAGTGACAACTCATTTCTAGTCTTGACGTGTTTGCTTTTTATCATTTAAAGATTTGTAGATACTGTGTCAAGCTAATTACCTTAACCTCATTTGTACATTGACAGTGTCTCTTTGCAGCTGTGTAACGTGAAAATGAAGCCAAATGAAACCCAGTGCTCTTTCTACCTCACTCAGGCTCACGTTAAAGACTGACAGTGCCTTCAATACACATGTCAAACACAGGATCTGCTGTCTCCTTTCATTTTCTATGTAAAGCCAATATTACCACATTACATGCTAATCTCACAACTTCATTACACACACACAGCATTCAGAAAGTTTGAAAAAAATGTTTAAGGTTTTTAAAATGGAACCTGCTTTCAGGATGACACCTGACTATAGCTCAAAAGCAACACAGCTACCCCCAGTCCTGCACCACCCCAAATCTGGGAATCCCAGAGAGGAACAGTGCCACCCTGCTGCCCAATAAATCAGCTGCTCTGCAGGAAAAAAAATTTTTTACTTCTAATGAACACATGCAAATACAAATGTGTAATGCTGAACTCAGAGACGATGCATTCAGCTTTTTAGTATGACCTTCAGTGACAACTCATTTACTTAGGACAAACATTTGCCATGTGAATTATGTTGATATGTACACATTCAAATACACACTACAATACTTGTGCTGAAAACTCTCTTTCCAAGGTGACCAAATTAAACCTGACAAATACTTTTTTTATCTGTAGTTAATGCATTAACAAATACAGTTCTTAGTATAAGATAAACCGTACACCACAGAAGCTTACGAAAGTATCTTTACTCCTCTAACACAAAACGCATTCAAACAGCAACATACCACTGGGAGACATACGGGGGGGCCTTAAATACCATTGCACCTTAAAAGCTCATACTTTGTCCCCCAATAACAATAAAGTGCCAAAAGAAATGTGCACTAAATTAACTGTTGCTAAACACGGCAAGACATCAACCCAGCTAGATTATACAATTATAAAATGCATGTTATTTTCAACTATTTGTGCTTATGTCACAACTTTAACCCATCTGGCCGTTATTCATAAACGCTCAAAGCCTTTGTTAATTACATCAGTACCAAGTGGCACACTTTCCGGAGACAAATATTGTCTACGCATCACAGAAAGGATCTCGGGCAGATTTTGAGACACCCCTCCCCAGTGCCAGATCCAAGGTTTAAAGGCACCCTCCAAATTATTATTACTTAAGCTGCCATTCACAACTTTTTATTCTAACCCTGAATTTACTGCATAATTCAAATGATTGTGCTACTGCACACACATTCTTGTTTGGGTTTACCTCATTCGTTCTGACCCGGAGCTCTGTAATTTTCAACATGTCATCCTCTGAATTAAGGTCTTCTATCTGTGTATTCATAAAAAGACACAACAAACAACAGTGAGGAATAACTACACTCTAGTATCGTTTCAGTCCTCAAATCAGTGCTTTTCAATGTACCATCCAAGTGAATGATCCATTTAGTCATGAACAGTGGTCACAATGTGCTGGCGTAAATTTTTTTCATGTTTTTAGAAAGAGACCCCCACCTGCAACACTGCATTAAAACAACAGTTAATACAGAATAACTTCCATTTTACTATTTAAAGTTGCATTGTTTGGAACCCAAAGCCAAAAACTGTGCAACTGTCCCAACAGAATATTTAATTTACATATTTCAATAATATATTACAATTATTTAAAACTACTGCTACAAATACCCATGTTCACAGAGTAAAAGCCTTTCAAAACTATCCTGCGCAGCTTTTAAAATTGCAGCACCCACAGCACAGTGTGTTTACCAGACATTATCCATGTTACTTTTTAGGGTGACACCGCCGTGATATTCAGCAGATCAGCGGTTTAATACAAACAGACACATACATACGCTAATGTGGCGCTCCTTTTGTATACCGCTTTTCTTGCACCGCTGGGGGGTAAGACTATGTATTTCACACCTACAATGTGGAAAAAAAACATTAGTAATTGTGTAATATGAATAAACAGATAAAAAATAAATAAATAAATGTGGCTCTTAGTTGGGCAATATAAAAATAAAATTTATTCTAATAGAAATACGATACATTGATGTGTAAAGACACGAAACGATCGGTCTGTGCAAGAAACTGAACAGTATTTATATTGTTTTTTTTACCTCTGATTTACTGCAATGTCCAAACTGTCCTGAGCGCGTCTGCATCTTCTTCTGCCGGCGCGTGGCGCGTCTTGCTTTACGGCAGATCGCAGATTTATAAGTGCATTACCACCACCTATCTCTCAAATGGACCATTGACACTCCTAATTGAGACTGTAGATAGAGTGTCAATGGTCCATTTGAGAGATAGGTGGAGGTAATGCACTTATAAGTCTGCGATCCGCTGTAAAGCAAGACGAAGACGCGGCACGCGCCGGCTGAAGAAGACACGAACGCGCTCAGGACAGTTCGGACATTGCAGTAAATCACAGGTAAAAAACTATATATAAATACTGTTCAGTTTCTTGCACAGACCGATCGTTTCGTGTCTTTACACAACAATGTATCGTCATGAGCCGCAGGGTTTAATTCTAGAACCGCCACGGGGTAAATTT